TTTTTTCTTTCTTTCTTGTTCTTCATTTTCTCTTCATTTTCTTGGTATTTTTGGGAGCAAATCAAGAGCACAAGGAGAGTCAATCTAAGGTTTTAGAGAAATATTTGAGAAAGTCATAGCTAACCTTCAAAAGAGTTGTGTATCTATAACTTTGTATTTTCTCATTTATTTTGCTATATTTGCAACATATATTCTCCTTTTATTCATTTATATAGTATGGGCTAAGTTATTGTGTTGGGATTTATGGTAGTAACTTAATCTAGCTTTATTTAATTTCAATATTTGCCCTTTGATATTAATTTGCTTATTTTCATATGTTTCTACTATTGTATTTTCATTTATGTGGCCAATGAATGATCGTGTCTAGTGATTTGTACATCGTTCAGAGAATATTGTGCATTTTAGATCAAATAGTAAAAACCCTCGATCTGTGTAGAGAATAGAAATATACCCCTATATCTAAGTGACCCATTGAATTATTTTCACTTAATGTGATTGTTGGTTTTAATCGACATAGAGATATAGTAGGTGAAACCAATCAATTAGGGTTAATTTCTCTCGAAAGAGGTAATTGACTAAAATTGAAAAATGTGGTCTAACATAGTAAATGAATAATTCGTTAATTAGCTCATGGAGAAATTAATTAGGCTATGTTTAAATGAAACAATGAGTTCCAACCACGTTTGCTTCCAAGATTTTTATATTTTCTTCTTTTGTAGGTTTTTAGTTAATTTCCTTATTTCAAAATCATATCTTTAATTGTGTGTGTTTATTTTTATTGTTAGAATTAAATTAATTAGAGTTGTATAATCTGAAGTATACATTCATCGAGAGATTGACAACTCGAACTCAAAAAGTTCACTTTATTACTTGAATGCGATCCGTGCACTTATGACATGCATTTTTTGCGAACACCTACCTTTATAAATAACTTAAACATTGCGAAAACCTAAAAATTTCCCTCTTACATAGCCAACCCCTAGTTGCAACATTACCCCTCAATCTCATAATTGGGCCAGTTTCTTTTGATCAATAGATAAGAAAAAAATTTAGTTCTTCTGGATTACGGAATATTCAATACACAATGTTATTGTGTAATTGAAATTAGTATCAAATAATTGGTTGTCGCCATTTAATTGAGACATAAAATATATATGTCAATTAAATAATGACAGGAAGTCGTGAATTCCGTACTTCGAAGGTACTGGAAAACATAAAGACTTACATAGGTGCCCTATAGTTATTGGTAGGTAGTATCTATACTGGACCAAAGTAAAATTCTACAGTAAATGAGTCTAGTTATTATTCAATGGTATTCTCCACCACCCTAAGTGTTTGGTTCCAAGGCTAAGATCATCCTTAGTTAACACGTATTCTCGAAAATAAGTTAGTTCATCACATATTTCTCTCTACATCTTTCTCTACCAAACCTGATGTGATCCAAAAGTCGAGCCCAAACTGGGCAAGCCTAGGATGAGACCTATTGATTATCGAAGGTGGACCGACAACGTGTTCGAGGGTAAAGCAGGTAGATCAAGCGATGTGGCTATTGGTTCAATCAATAATTGATGAGACAATGATCATGGCACAAAATGATGCAAGTTCCATGTTGGGGTCGAAGACCGAAACCATTTGGATCAGTTCGATACAAGCGATCGAAAGCGAAGCTGAAGCATACAACTATGCAGTCACATAGTTGTACCTACCATGCGACCGCATGGTGGCAACCCTAAACTAGAAAGGGGCAGATTGAATGGCTTGTGCCACCGCACCACATTGTATCATGCGGTCGCGTGGTTAAGTTTCGAGACATAAATTTCCTTTTTCAGCAAGTTTCCATATTTTGTTAGAATTCTAATTTTGGTTAAATTCTCGTAATCTTTAATAAATATTTTCCATTCTCATTAAGATTTTAGGGCTAGTATAAATACAATGTCATTCCTTTCATTGTGACAACTTCAAACATTATTATTCAATTGAAATTGTGAGGCTTTTTTATTTCAAAAATCCATTGTTGTTCTTTTGAACAATTTCGAACTTATCAAGGTGCAAAGCTTGAGGCGTTCAAACACGCGGTGCAATTCTTGTATTGTATAATCAAGAGGTCTTTCAAACTTCGTTTTGCAAGGTTGCTTGGTTCGTTAATTCTTGGGTTGAAACCACAAACCGAGTTAATTGGCTTTCTTAGTTTCTAACAATCTCCTGTGGATTTCGTAGTCGTCATTGCTGCATGGTTCACATCAATTGGTATCAGAGCACATGCTTCAATTTAATCGATGTTATATCTTTCAATTTTCTTATTGAGTCTTTTAATTTTATTTGCTTCCTATTTTCTTTGCGTGCTTGTGTTCTTTGTTATTTTGAGTCTTTGATCCACAAAAGTGTCTTCAAATTTTCAAAAGTTGTTTTTGGGCTAATTTAGCATCAAAGAACCAGAAAAATTGCTATTGTTATTTCCGTCCAACAATTCTTTGTTGTTAATTCTTTAAGTCATTTATTTCTTTCCAGTCAATTCGAAGTGTCGATTCAATCAATTTTTGGTTTCGTTAGTTCCAGTCAAGTTTTCAATTCCCACTGTTCAAATTACTTTCAAAATCACTACTGTTATACACCTGATTTGAAATCCGCGAGGCTAATTCTTGTGAGTTCACTTTGTTTTTGGGAGCACTTGGACGAAAGCATTGAGTGGAAAAAATGCAGAGTGGTGAGATCACTAGAGGGTAAAAGCCATATAACGTGTGATTCTGAGTGAAATATTGGTGAGGCAGAAAATTTATAAATTTACGATGTCTGATAGAAAAGATTCCAATTCAAGCCGAAATAACAATCACATTAATGCATTGGATGATACGATGAGGTGGTTTGAGAAGTTGTTGGCAAATATGGGAGATAGGTTAGATAGGCTTGATACATTGGTTAAAAATCTTAATAGGGACAACGAACGGAAGCACCTCATGCTAGGAGGCCGGGTAAACGAGAACCTAAGATGGAAAGGCAAGAGGCGTACGATTATGGTAGTGATTTGTATGAGGATGAGTATAAAGGAGTTGAGATGGGATGGATGCGGAATAGAGGTGATAGGCTTGAATGGTAGGGTTGGAATAATCATGGAGACGAGATATATGGTAATATGGACAACATTAAGATGTCCATTCCGTCGTTTAAGGGAAGAAATGATCCTGAAGCTTATCTAGAGTGGGAAAACAAGGTGAAGTTAATTTTTGAGTGCTATAACTACTCGGAGGAGAAGAAGGCAAATATACCAATTTTAGAATTCACTGACAACACGATAACTTGGTGGGATCAAGTAGTTACTTCATGGCGTAGGAATCAAAAGAGGCCTATCAACATTTGGGATGAGTTAAAGGGGGTGACAAGAAGGCGATTTGTACTTAGTCATTATTATAGGGAACTCCATCAAAAGTTGCAAAGTTTATATTAGGGTTCGAAAAGTATAGAGGATTATCACAACGAGATGGAGATATTGATGATTAAGGCGAATGTAGAGGAGGATCGGGAAGCCACAATGCTCATTTTTAAATGGGTTGAATAGGGATATAGTCAGTGCGGTGGAGCTACAATATTATGTGGAGTTGGAGGATATGTTGCACGTGGCGATGAAGGTAGAAAAGCAATTGAAGAGGAAGGAGACTGCTGGGCAACCAGTGAGAACTTTGGCTTCTAATTCATCTTGAAAATTGAAGTGGAATAACAATAAAGGAAACGAAGCTGTTTCTAAGGTAGGACCTAGTTACCAAAGGGAAATGAAGTAGGTGCTAACAAGAGAGTACCCAAGACAAAGTCACAACCACGAAGGAGCAGGGACATTAAATGTTTCAGGTGTTTGGGTCGGGACACATTGCTTCTTAGTGTTCAAATAAACGGGGTGCTAGTGTGGTGGGACAATGGAGAGGTGGTAAGCGAAAGTAAAGGTGAATATGATGACATGCTGAAATTAGAAGAAATTAGTGATGGGGAAAAAGTGGAATATGCTGTAGGAGAGCTGTTGGTCACGAGGCGAGCTCTTGACAATTAGATCAAGGCGAATGATTTGGAGTAGCAGCGGGAAAATATATTTCACACTCGATGCCACATTAATGATAAGGTATGTAGTTTGATCATCATTGGTGGGAGTTGCACCAATGTGACTAGCACAATTTTGGTAGAAAAAATGGGATTAACTTTATTGAAACATCCTAGACTTTATAGGCTTTAATGGTTGAATGAATGTGGAGAAATAAAAGTGAATAGGAGGGTTTTGATAAATTTCTCAGTTGGGAGTTATTGTGATGAAGTGGTACCTATACATACGGGACATTTGTTGCTGGGGAGGCCATGACAATACGATAGAAGGGTTATTCATGATGGATATAAGAGTCGATATAGCTTTTTCAAGGAGGGAGGTCCATTACCATTGTGCCCTTAATACCAGCACAAGTATATGAAGACCAAATTAAATTAAAAAATGAAGAAGGAGGGTAGTGAAAGAGTTCGAGAAAAAGAGAGAAAATAATGAGACAGTGAGTAAGAGAGAAGAATGTGAGGTGGCAAATAAGATAGAAATTAATGTGGTGGTGAGTAGAGAGAAAAAGAGAGGAGCCACAAGAGAGAAAAAGAAAAGGATTCTTCCAAGATGAGAGAAAAGTCAAGAGTGAATTTCTTTCGAAAAAAAAAAAAATGAGCCTAGGAGAGCAACAGTTGAGGAAAGGGAAATGATTTTGTTGGACTACAAGGAGTCATTCTTCAATCTTGAGGAAGCTAACCCACCCCTCCCTAGTTTGGCTAAATCTTTGTTATAGGAGCTCGAACATATTTTTCTAGAGGACATACCTAGTGGACTACCACCAATTCGAGGCATTGAGCACCAGATCGATTTCATACCTAAAGCTGTCATTCCAAATCGACCAGCTTACCATAACAATCTTGAGAAAACAAAAGAAACTTCAAAGGCAAGTGGAGGAGTTGATGAATAAGGGCTATGTCAGGAAGAGCATGAATCCATGTGTCGTGCCAGTACCATTGGTGCTAAAGAAAGATGTGACATGGAGGATGTGCGTAAACTACAGAGCCATCAATAACATAACGATAAAGTATCATCACCCTATCCATAGGTTAATGACATGTTAGACGAATTACATGGTGCCTGCATTTTTAGTAAAAATGATCTTAAAAGCGGTTACCATCAAATCAAAATGAGAGAAGGTGATGAGTAAAAAACTGTATTTAAGACCAAATATGGACTATATGAGTGGTTAGTAATGTCATTTGGACTCATTAATGCATCGAGCACTTTTATGCATTTAATGAATCATGTTTTACGTGCTTATATAGGAAAATTTGTTGTGGTCTATTTTGACGGCATTTTGTCTTTAGAAAAAATCTAAATGAGCATATGGAACATTTAAGATATGTGCTTGTAATATTAAGGAAAAAATAATTGCATGCTAATTTTAAGAAAAGTACATTTTGCATGGAAAGTATTGTCTTTCTAAGTTTTGTGGTTAGTGCTAATGGGGTAGAGGTAGAAAAGGAGAAGATAAAAGCTATTAAAGACTGGCCTGCACCTAAGAGTATAACTGAGGTAAGGAGTTTTCATGAGTTGACTAGTTTTTATAGGTGATTTGTAAAAGACTTTAGCACAATCACTATACCACTCACGGAAGTAGTAAAGAAGAGTGTAGGTTTTCATTGGGATGATGTACAAGAATATGCATTTAACACTATTAAAGATAAATTGTGTAAAGCACCGATTTTTGTTAACTAATTTTGACAAAACGTTCGAGTTTGAGTATAATGCATCAGGAATAGGGATTGGAGCAGTAATAATGCAAGATAGGGGACCGATAGCATTTTTAGTGAAAAGTTGAGTAGAGCTGCTCTTAACTACCCTACTTACGATAAGGAGATGTATTCGCTTGTCCGAGCCTTGGAAACATGGCATCATTACTTATGGCCTAAATAGTTCATTATTCACATCGATCATAAATCGTTGAAGAACTTGCGGGGTCAAGAAAAGTCGAACAAAAGGCATGCCAAATGGATGGAGTTTATTGAAATATTTCCATATGTCATTCGATACAAGTATGGTAAAGAAAAAATAATGGCAGATGCATTATCTCGAAGGTATGCATTGTTAAATTCACTAAGCACTGAATTGCTTGGCTTTGAACATATTAAAGATGTGCATGGAAATGATTTAGATTTTTTCGATATTTACAAATCATGTGGTAAATGGGCTATAGATTAGTTCTTTAAGCACGAAGGGTACTTGTTTTGGGAAAATAGGTTATGTGTTCCTAATTGTTCAATATGAAAGTTGTTGCTAGTGAGGGAAGCACATAGTGGTGGATTAATGGGGGCACTTTGGTGTACAAAAGACTTTAGAGATGTGAGGAAAGCATTTCTATTGGCCTAAGATGAAAAGTAACGATGAGAGGATTTGTAGTCGATGCATAACTTGCAAGAGGGCTAAGTTTAGAGTTTTACCCCAGGGACTATATACACCATTACCAATACCTAGTGAACTATGGGTTGACATTTCAATGGTTTTTATTTTAGGTTTACCTAGGACTAATAAAGGACGAGATTCAATTTTTGTGGTGGTAGATAGATTTAGTAAGATGGGGTATTTCATACCGTGCTATAAAATTGATGACACTACTCACATATTTGATTTGTTCTTTACAGAGACAATGCACTTACATGGGGTCGCTAAGAGTATAATGTCGGATAGAGATATAAAAAATTTTGAGTCATTTTTGACGGGTTTTGTGAGGTAAACTAGGTACTAAATTGTTGTTTTCTACAACTTGTCATCCACAAACCGAGGTAGTTCATTGGACCATGAACTTTGTACACGGTGATAAATAAAACTTTGAAAAATTGGGAAGATTGTCTACCTTTTGTTGAATTTGCACATAATCGGCTTGTTTATTTTACTATTTCATTTTCACCTTTTGAATTTGTTTATGGTTTTAATTCACTAACCCCATTGGATTTGGTACCTTTACCTATGAATGAGCGTAGTAGTCTAACGGTAAAAAGAAAGTTGAATTGGTAAAGTCACTTCATGAAAAGGTCCAAACGAAGATTGAGAACAAAAACAAACTCATTGCATCGCAAGCAAACAAGGGTTGGAAAAGCATGACATTCGAACCAAGCGATTGGGTTCAGGTGCATTTTAGAAATGAGCAATTTCCAGAGCAAAGAAAGTCTAAGTTGCAACCATAGGAAGATGGACCACTTCAAGTTATCGAGAAGATCAATGAGTATAATGTTTCAGCTACGTTTAATGTGTCTGATCTCTCTCTCTCTCTCTCTCTAATGTATGTACAGATTCTAGGATGAATCATTTTGAAGAGGAATGGGATGATGGGATCCAAAAGTCGAGCCCTACCTCGACGCCCAGAATGAGACCAATAGATTATTGAAGGTGGACCGATGACACATTAGAGGGCACAACTGGTAAATCAAGCAATGGAGCTATTAGTTCAATCAACAATTGATAAGACGATAATTGTGACACAAAATCGGACAAGTGCCATGTTGGGGTCAAAGGCCGAAACCATTTGGATCAATTTGATACAAGCGGCCAAAACTAAAATGGGGTAAGTTCCATGTTGGGGTCGAAGGCCCACCATGCGACCGCATGTGGCTACCCGAAACTAAAAAGGGGTATATTGAATGGTTTGTATGACCGCACCACATTGTACCATGTGGTCGCATAGTTAAGTTTCGAGACAAAAATTTCCTCTTTCCGCGAGTTTCATTATTTTGCTAGTATTCTATTTTTGGTCAAATTCTTATGATCTTTAATTAATATTTTCCGTTTTCACTAAGATTTTAGGGCTAGTATAAATAAATTGTCATTCCTTTCATTGTGAGAACTTCAAACATTATTATTTAATTGAAATTGTGACGCTTTTTGTTTTCAAAAATTCATTGTTCTTCTTTTGAACAATTTCGAACTTATCAAGATACAAATCTTGTGGCGTTCAGACACCGGGTGCAATTCTTGAATTGTGTAATCAAGAGGTCTTTCAAACTTCGTTTTGCAGGGTTGCTTGGTTCGTTAATTATTGGGTTGAATCCACAAACCGGGTTAATTAGCTTTCTTGGATTCTAACAATCTCCTGTGGGTTCCGTAGTCATCATTGTTGCACGGGTTCATATCAAAACCCGTGATCAGATGTATCTATTGAACCAAGTCTCTATATTGCCAGCCACTTGTGCCTTTCAAACTTTAATTTGTGTCTTCTCATTAAAAGACTGCATTAGATAACGCACTCTATCTTGCGAGTTGGCTTGAGTTTGGTAGCTAAGCAAGAACAATAATTCAAAAGAAGTATGGCTGCTAGGACATGGATGGATGTCTAATTATCGGGGGTTGTAGAACTTTTAGTCCAAAAATAGGGTTAAACATACGTTTTAAAATGTCATTTAACTTATAAGTTTTCGAGTTGCCATAGAATTTTTTAAATATCTTTCTGTCGCCATTGAACTTTAAAAAGTTCTTCAAATTTTTTCTTAAGTTACAAATTTTTATCACATTTATTACCCCATCTCTCACCAGTTTAAAAATTAACGAACTCGATGAACTTACTAGAAGGTTATCACGTCCTCATTTTATCCACATGTCATCAAGTGTACTTGATTTTAAACGGCAAATGACGGATGAGATAATATTTTGATAGGTCGACAATTTTTAAAGTTCACTGGTAATTGAAAAATATTTAGAAAGTTGAGTAATCGCTCGAAAAACTTCTAAAATTTATGAAAATTGGATAACGTTTGGAAAAGTTTAGTAGCAACAGCGATATTTAGCCCCAAATAATCTTCAAAAATATTTTCCTTTTTTAAAATTGATGGTGGTGTAGCCAATATTTCAAGAGTCGACATCATTAGTTATAGTGTTTAGATACGTATAGTTTTACAAGTATACCGGGCACGAAGGCAATAGTATGAATGGAAGAATATTGATCAATATCAGAAAAGGGGGCCATTTCTTGTGTCTGTGCTATATATGGATACAAGCTGCACGTTATATGTATATATTTATTAGTTCTAGAAATTTTTTTAAAGAAATTAGTCCAACATTTACATTCACTTTGTAATTTCAAATAATTATTTTATATACTTATTTTGTTTGAAAAAAAATTTAATTTTAACTAAGATAAATTGAATAGATAATACACAAAATTTTTGTCAATAACTAATAAATAATATGTAAATCACAAAAAAGGAAAAATATATTTTTTAATATAGTATACAAAATTACAAAATCAAAACTTAACCATTATCATTGATAAATGAGTTCAAAAAATCATTAATTTAAATGTATAGAAAAATAAGTGACAAAAAACTTGAAAACTTTAATTTTGTCTCAAACACAAAAATAAAAAATAAAAAATAAAAAATTATACTTTAAAAATTATTAAATTATTTTTAATAATGACCCACCGGTCCGACCAGCAACCCAGTGACCCGGTACCTTGACCGGGTCGATGTTCGAGTCGGATCTGATAACTATGTTTATTAGGGTTGACAACTTGATTGAGAGATTGTTTATTAAGATGAAAATTTAATAAGAATATTGAATGTTAGAATAGTGCCTAAGTATTCATTATGCTGAAGTCACTTGCATTATCGAGCAATCAATGAGGGGGAAGGACAAGTCAAATATTACAAAGTTTTAAATAATGGAAGTTCTAGATTAATGGAGGATGATAAAGATTAGTCGTAATAAATATGTTTCATTATGATATCAAATTGATTGATAGTTTTTAACTTTTTTGGCAGCATTTATCATATTTTGGTTTACAGCTGACTGGTCTTAATTAATGGTTATTAAATCCATTTGTATTTGATTTAATTACATAGAATTTCAAATTTAAATAAAGTGATGTTAACTTGAAAGAATATAGTTTTGTGTACCAATTTTATTGATCCAAGCAAAAACAAAATAGTTAATTTTCTTAAAAAAATTAACTAATATATAATTCTATTTTGACTGCAAAACTAATTTAACAATGAAGTCTTAATTAACTACAGTAAATACTAATTAGGATTGGCTTGGTATTGGTTTAGAAATATTTCAGTATTATTGTATGTTTGAAAAAATGCAATTGAGCATTTGATTAAAAAAAAAAGTACTTTATTGATCTAATTGATTATATTGATCTCAATATTAATATGCAGGGAAATTTAAAAGTACACCCCGTATTTAAGGTGTGATGACAACACATTTGTACATTTACGTTTTACATAATATATTTTTACAATGGTATCAAAAACTCTATTTGCTGGGGGAAAAAAAAAAAAAAAAAAAAAAAAAAAAAAAAAAAAAAAAAAAAAAAAAAAAAAAAAAAAAAAAAAAAAAAAACAGAAAAAACAGAAAAATTATGAATATCATTATAAATAAATGAACAAACAAAAATATTCTTAGTTAGTTGAAATAACAAATTACATCCTGTATACCTTGTGTAACATTTTGCGTAACATTTTTTAACTACTAAATTTTCAATTGGTGTGTTTCTTTATAAAAATTATCTTCTTTATTGTGATATTTATAAAATTATTATGTTGTTTCCTTAAACTCTACTGTGAAATCAAGAAAAATCAATTATAATAAGTTAAGATCGTATTTAAAAAAAAAAAAAAAGACTTCATTTAACTATTTTTTCCCCTAAGGTGAAGAAAAGAGAGACTTTATTTGACTATTCAATGTTGTAAAAATAAGTAAAATTTTGGGTATATTCTAATTAATGTTTTCAATGAATAAAATTTTTTTTAAAAAAAAATTGAGTAAAATTTTTTTTAGGATCAGTTATAATTTTGAAACATCAACATAAATGCACTAAAATGTTATTGGAAAATGAAAAATACTTGACTATTTGTATTAATTGAAAATTATTGCTCCATCCTAATATCTTATTGAAAAATGTTGTTTATCCCAATTAATATAAATGAGCATCAACTCATTATTGAAATAAGCTCATTACATTAATATAAAAGTTTAATGTAAGTTCTTGGAATGAATAATACTTTTAAGAAAAATGACTTTTTAATACATCTTGAAGCTCCATATCTATATTTAATTTTGTAATTTAAAAATATTTTGTAACATATACGTGATTGAGTTGGTAGGTAGTATCTCTTATGGAACAAAGTACAATTCCATAGTAAAGGAGTCTAGTTATTGGCTTATTGCTCAACGGTATTCTCCGCCACCCTCAGTGTTTGGTAAGGCTAGGATCATTCTCAACACACTCTCAAAAATAAGTTAGTTATGCAATTATTTCTCTTTACATCTTTCTCTACCAAACCCAAGATCCTAGATGTATGTATTTAACCAAGTCTCTATGTTAGGACAGGACAGGACAGCACGATATTAAAATTGAGAAACAAGAAAACCTCAATCGATCTGAAATAAATTGCAGAAAATTAAAAGACCACAAAGGAATTATTTCGGCCTAAGCCCCGGAGGTTCGACGACCACATCTAATGCCTACATCCCCCGTTGAGCATCCAAAGATTTGGATTGTGCTCGGTTGCACTAAACAGCCAAAAATGGCAACAGATTTACAGAACGTTCAGAGAGATGAAAATGAGACTTATCTCTCAAGTACAGCAACAGATCTACAGAGATTCACTCAGATCTCAGACCGCAAAGCTTTCGAACACCACCAAATGATACAACAGAGAAATCACTCGAATTTCTTCACCATTCACACAGAATACAACAATCGAAGGAAGATCTCACTATACTTGGTGTAAAATCAGAGATTTTTACACAAGAATCACTCAAAGAAAATTAGTCTCTCTCAAATCGCCAATACTTTTCTCTCTGAAAACCCTAGAGTCAAGAGCAAAACTGAAGGGTTCGTTCTGATGTTCCAGGAGGCTCGAGCCATTTAACAAAAGGCATATGAAACGGTTTAATCCAACGTCCAGAAGGCCATCCAGTAAAGTGTCAAAACTTATTAAGTCGTGTTTAATAAAAACACGGTTTCTTCACAAATCAAATTATGGAAGCATTAAATAGGCAAATAGGGTTCGATTCCAACAATCTCCACCTTGCCGCCAGAATTTGAGCTATTAGTGCAGCCAGGAGCATAAAATTACGTCTTTTTCATTTGCTCCAAGTACCTGTATAAGAATCACAAAGAATCAACAGATAAAAGTTTTAAGCAGTTTAAGAATTTGTTTAAAGGGATTACTTTTGTACCCATATCAGATGGATTAAACTGAGTAGAAACTTTTTCAATCTTGATTTTACCTTTTGAGATTATATCTCTTATAAAATGATATTTAACATCAATATGTTTTGATCTATCATGGAACATGGGATTTTTACTTAGGTGAATAGCACTTTGGTTATCAGAAAACAGTACAATGTGGTTATCATTAAGACCCATTTCAGACAATAAGCCATTTAACCATATTCCTTCTTTAACACCATCAGTTGTAGCTATATATTTTGCCTCAATTGAGGACAAAGCCACAGCTTTCTAGAGTTGAGATTTCCAACTGATAGCAGTACCACACAGTGTATAAAAATAAGATGAGGTTGACTTTCTATTATCTCTATTTCTAGCAAAATCAGAATCAGTATACCCTTTTAAACTTATTCCATTTTTATCTAATTTAAACATTAAGTCTAAATTTAATGATCCCTTGAGATATCTTAATAACCATTTTAAGGCATACCAATGTTCTTCACCAGGGTTACTCATAAACCTACTTAAAATGCTAATACTATATGCAATATCAGGTCTGGTGCATATCATCAAATACATCACAGAACCAATTGCATTAGCATACAAAATTTTTGACATGGCATATTCATCTTCAGATTTAGGACAAAATTCAGAAGACAATCTAAAATGACTAGCAAGAGGCAGTGTTATAGGCTTACAATCATGCATGTTGAATTTTTTCAAGATTTTAGACACATAGTCACATTGATTTAAAAATAACATATTTTTATCCTTATTTCTCCAAATCTGCATGCCCAATATTCTTTTAGCAGCACCAAGGTCTTTCATATCAAACTCAGAACTTAACTTTGATTTAATGTCATCAATTTTTGATTTATCAGAACTAGCCAACAACATATCATCCATATAAAGGATCTGATATAATGAGTTTTTAGCTCCACTACCTTTGCAGTACAAGCAAGTATCATATTGGCTTCTTTTAAATCCAAGTTTCAAGACAAAAGTGTCAAATCTTTTGTACCACTGCCTAGGTGCTTGCTTTAGGTCGTACAAGGAGTTCTTTAACAAACAAACAGTGTTTTTAGGATCACCTTCCTCAAAACCAATTGGTTGTCTCATGTATATTATTTCATCTAATTCTCCATACAGGAAAGCAGTTTTAACATCTAGTTGATCAAGTTCCCATTTAAATTGTGTAACAAGTGCAAGTAAGCATCTGATAGTAGCATACTTAGCAACAGGAGAAAAAATTTCAGTATAGTCCACACCTTCTTTTTGTGTGGAACCCTTTGCTACAAGTCGAGCTTTGTATCTGATGTTTTTATCATCACTTTCTCCAATTTTTATTTTATAAATCAACTTGCAATCAATTAATTTTTGTCCTTTGGGCTTATCAATTAATATCCATGTCTTATTTTTAAGAAGTGAAGACATTTCATCTTCGACGGCCATCTTCCAATTTTTTCTTTCTTTACATTTCATGGCTTCTTCAAAAGTGTTTGGCTCATTTTCAGTAAGATCTTGGTAGGTAAATAAGGCTACAAAGGTGCCATTGTCAAATCTAGTGGAGGGTTTGATTTGCCTTCTCTCCCTATCTCTTGTGAGTTGATACTCATCAAAGGGGAGAGTTGCAGAATCAACCTCTTCAACATGTTCAGTTTTATCTTCAGTTTTAGGTAAAATAACATGTTCTTCATTTTCATTTTCTTCTGCACTAGTTACAGAAATGTTCTGGTTACTGCAGGAAGGCTCCACCTCAATTTGGACATCCTTTTCAGTCAAAATATTTTCTTTTCCTTCAAGACATGGCATCAAGGATTCATTGAAGACTACATCCTTTCTAATTATTACTCTATAACCTTTTTCAGATTTAACCCATAATCTGTACCCTTTAACATGTTTATCATAACCCAAGAAAACACACTTTAATGATCTTGGTTCTAGTTTACCAACATTTTGATGAGCATAGGCTGCACAACCAAATATTTTCATATAAGAGTAATTTACAGTACTATTTGACCACACATTTTTGGGACAACAAAGTTTAGTACACTAGTAGGACTTCTATTAATCAAATAAGCTGCAGTTTTGATTGCTTCACCCCCAAAACATTTTAGGCAGTCCAGAGCTTAACAACATGCATCTAACTTTATTCAACACAGTTCTATTCATTCTTTCAGCCATTCCATTTTGTTGTGGTGTGTGTGAAACATTTTTGTGTCTCATAATGCCATATTCCTTACAAAGATTATCAAATTCAGAATTGCAAAATTTCAAACCATTATCAGTTCTTAAATATTTTATTTTAAGATCAACCTGATTTTCAACTTGAGTTTTCCAATCCTTAAAGGCAAAAAATGTCTCATCTTTAGACTTTAGTAGATGAACCCAAATTTTTCTAGAGAAATCATCAACTATTAGCAAAAAATATTTAAAACCAGTTAAAGTAGAGACAGAAGCAGGACCCCACAAATCAGCATACAAGTACTCAAGTCTTTGTTTGGACTTATGAATTCCACTTTGAAAAGGAAGTTTGGCTTGCTTTCCCAAAATACAGTGTTCACAAGAGTCAAAATCACCATGATTATGTTTTCCAAAAACACCTTTTGATTGCAAAATGTTTAAACCCTTTTTACCAATATGACCAAGCCTTTCATGCCACAGTTTTTCCAAAGTAAATTTTTTAAATACAACAGAAGCAGTTAAACCAAGCAACGGTTTTGCATTCAGACAATAAAGACCATGTCTCTTAGGGGCTGAAGTAACCAAGTCATTTCCCCTAAGAATTTTTATATGTCCTTGACCCATAATTATGTTAAACTCCTTGTCATTTAACATTCCTAAAGACACTAAGTTTCTTTTCAAATATGGGACATGTCTTGTGTTCTCTAGGAACAAAACATTACCATTTTCTAATAACAATTTGACAGTCCCAATTCCACTCACTTTACATGCAAAGTTGTTTCCCATTATAACCTGTCCCCCTTTGATTCTTTTTAGATTTATAAAACAGTTTTTGTTGGAGCACATATGAAAAGAGCGTCCTGAGTCAAGTATCCATTCATTACTTAGGCATTTTTCAGCACTTACTAACATAAAACCATTTTCTGTTTTAGTTTTATCATAGGCTAGTGCATTGCTTCCATCAAGGCTCTTTTCTTTTAAATCATTTTTCTTTTTAAAACAATCTTTTGCAAAATGACCAAATTTACTACAATAATAGCATTTTGTACCTTTTACATTATTCTTGGTCTTATTTCTATCAACCCATCTCCTATTAGTTTTTGAAAACTTAAAATTTTGTGTGGGTTTTTCAAAAGATTTTCCTTTAGTTAAGAAACTAGTTCCAGTATGACTGTTACTTGACTCAGCCTTAATTTCTAAAGCTTTATTCCTTAAAGCATCGGTTATATCATCAACAGTAAGTTCATCCCTACCATATTCAAGGGCAACTTTAATGTCCTTGTACTTGTCACTTATGAAGTTTAACAGAACTACAGCTAATTGATCTTTTGAAAGTTTTTCATCACAATTGGCCAAATCTTGGGTAAGTTTTGTGAACCTACTAAGGTTCTCTTCTATGTCAACTGCAGGATTGATTTTAAAGGAGAAAAATTGTTTTAAAAGAAAACATTTATTTGGAGTGGTTTTGGTCTCATACTTAGCCTTAAGTCTTGCCCAAAGATCAGAGGCAGTAGTAGTTTCACCTACCTCTCTGATCACATTATCAGACAAATACAGAAATATGGTACTCCAAGCAATTTCCTCAAGTTCATATTTCTTATTAGGAGCTATGCCCTCAGGCCATGAATCATCTAACGACTTGCACATTTCATTTGCATTAAAATTGCTCTCATTTTCTGACTCCACATATCAAAATCAATTTTGCCATCAAACTGACTAACTTCAAATTTAGCAGTAGCCATACTATAGACAAATTTTCATACAAGATCAATTTGGACTCACAGTAGTTTATCCAGGAAGTCAAGTAGTGCCAATTTGTATCAAGTTTGAGATACAGTAGAACACACAATAATATAAAGTTTCACAATTCTTGCAATATTAGA